CTGTTAATAAATTTCACATGTTATAACATGAAAATAGATTATATTTCAATGAAAGAGAGAAAGAGAACGTCTTAATATTGCTGTAATCTTACAGCAATAGCGTATCAATGTTTTACTATAGATTTGCAATATGCAATTTTTTAATGAAATTATTTTTATTTGAGGATTTTATTTCCAAAAATTCTACTTACAATTATTTCTTCTAATTTACCAATACTTCCAGAAGCCTACGGGCTCTCTTCATTAAGATTTATAAATCAAACTTATTGTTAAAATTATAGCTTTCCTTTTAAATCGTCTTCCTTTTTAATTAGTAATTTTTCTTCATATAATCATCGACAAAAGTATGAACAATATTTATATTCTCAAGCTTCAATAGTTTCTAACTCATTGAAAAATTATCCACTATTTGCACATTGCTGACCATTTAAAATTAATTTTCTTGGATGTCATTTTTTTACCAATATCTAACTTATATTTATCCAATGATCTAATATATATATATATATATATATATATATATATATAACTATCAAAGTTATAAAAAATAAATTTTTGATTTCTCAAAAAACATTAAAATTTTATATGATAAATTTATAGAAACTATAAAATTAGTTTTAAATTGAACTTTCCAATTTTTAATTAAAAAATTTATAAACAATCCTTCGACACTCTCATTGGGTTCACCCCTCTCTTTTATTGCTGATGTCGTTCTGCAAGACTTACGCTCTAAAACAATTAAAAGGCTACCTTTTTCACCCTTTCACGTCAGATATTATATGGCCTTAGTAGCTTCTCCTTCTATATACTCTCTTTAGTCTTGAATATTTTTAATTCTTTCCTAGAGGTCAATTCACGGTGGAGATAAGCTCTGACAAACATCTAAAGTTTTTAGATCTTATTATTATACCATGAGATGGATATTTAAAATTTGATTGGTATCATAAATCAACTTTGGTAAAAATGCATAAAAGATTACACCGATTTTATCGCCGTTTGAATATGTCATGAAAAAGGCTGTCCTGAATAATTCCCCGCAGAAAATAAATGGAGGACGGGATTAATTTAAAAGATTAACAAGTTAAAGTTTGACAATTTTTATTTTCTTTAGGCATTATAGACTGATATTAAGAACATTGCATATATATGAGGTTTGTTTAAACTATATTAATCTGATACCTTTTATGATATTTTATAATTGTAATATTTTAAAATTCTATAATCTTTTATGCACTTGTTTCCTCAACTTTTTCCGACAGATATTTGATTTTTTTTCCAACAATATTTCACTTGTCAAAACAAATGTATCATCATACGTTTAGTTGACGGGAAGAGGAATCTTTCTCTTGTTTCTTAAAATATTATCAAAATAGTCTTGAGTTCATTATTGATATTTTATTAAAAAATGAATATCTTAATTTAATATTTGAAACAATTAACAAAAGATTAAAGGTTCTTCTTCATTATAAAAAAATAAGAACACTTATTCAAAATTTTTAAGACTTCCGATTCTTAGAATTTCAAAATATATATGTGTATGTGAGTGTTTTTTTAAATTTCTTATATTAAATCTATTTCTGATAAATTTAATCTAATCAAGAATACCTATTGTTTGGTCCATATTGATATTAACAAACTAAAATTTATAAAAATACATAAAGTAACCCTTTATCTTTTCAAAATAAATAATAATTTATAAAATCAATTGCCGCAACTGCTTAAGCCTTCTTGTCAATCAAATTTTTAAAAACTCGCATCTCACAATCAAACCACAGGAATCACATCATAAAAAATAATAAGGGAAAGGAGATGAGATGATACAAAGTAGATAAAAAGCTTGCTATTTTTATTTAAATAATAACAAATAACGAGCTTACGATTACTTATTAGAGGCTTTTGATAATAATGAATAATTTCTTATAGTTCGATTTTAATTTGTAAATGAAAATAGATAATGTAATAAAGTATATGCTCTGTAGATATATATGTATTTACATATAATTAAATAAAAAATGTGCTATAGATATATACATATTGTAAGTGTACATTAATTTTTTATGTACATACATTTAATGTTTATTTATAAGAAATTATATAATTATATTGTAGTAAATACTTTCACTATCTTTATGAAATCATGGCATGTATATAGCTGGAAACATATAATAACATATAATAACATATTAATATTTCTCAATTTTTATATTATAACATTTTAGATGGATAAATAAATAAATAAATATATATATATATGATAATGTGATATAAGATGACGAATTGACATGCAAATTATAGATTATTGCATTGATCCACACTGTTAATGTAATTGGTTATGATTAATTAATGCTACTATATATTGATCTTATAAATCAATTATATATGTAATCATATATTAAGCTATATGCAATTTACATAATTTTTTTTATTTTTGAAGTCAAATAGTTGAATTACACAATCTGTCGGAAAAGTTTTCGGAATCATTTTTTATGCATATCGACAGTGATTATTATATGGATAACATTATACTATTTACTATAAACTATTAAGTTGATAGAAATTTTTCTGTTTTACTTCTCTCTGTTTTGTCTTATAAACGATTGTTTATAACGCATTATTTTTTTCATAATGAAGCAATTGATATAATTATGTATTTTATTTTAAGTAAAATTGCAAAAGGGAAAATAATATTTGAAATAATGAAAACAATGTATGTTATATCAAATAATTGCTCATGAGTAATTTAAACATCTCAGTGAGAATTGAGAATTATTATAAAATAATTCGAGAAATGGATGCCTATTAACATTGAAATCAAAAGATATTATATCTATGTATTATTTGTTTTCTTGCTACAATAGATCGACGATTAATGTGCCAAATGATAGCAGATGAATTGAATATAGCAAAACCAAGTGTATATTAAATTCTGATTCAAACATTAAGTAAAATGAAATTTTAAGCGCTTTGTTCTACATTTTTTAACATTAGAACAAAAAGAACAATGAATTAAAGTCTCACAAAATTACCTTCCGTCAGATTTTATACCTACAGATTTTTCCTTTTCTTCGAAGTAAAAATGCTAATAAAAGAGATCTTTCAACTCTAGAAAATATCCAAGAAGTAATGATATAATATCCAAATATACTATTCCATAAAAAGATTTTTCTAGAACCTTTCAATCTTCTAGAACAGTCAGAACAGAATCCAATAATCAATGCAAACCAAATTATATAAAAAATTAAAAAAATAAAAAATATTTACTTTTACAGAGTCCTCAAATGACTTTCGGTTGACCATTGCTTGTCGTTTATTAAAAAATGATAAGTTCAAAAAAATTTTTTACGAATTATACATCATTTGCGGACACCATGTACAATAAAATAGACCTTCTATCACACCGAAAGCACAGAACGGTGTGGGTTAAACCTCGCTTCGGTTGGAAAGTTACAAATCCATGTGGAACCGTACAATAATAGACCTCGTTTCGCACTGGCTGCAGGGATGATGTGGAATGGACCTCGCTTTGAGTGGAGTTGCAAACCTATATGTAATCGTACGATAGTAAACCTTGTTTCGCATTGAAAGCACCGGGAAATACGAGATGGACCTCGTTTCGCATGGAAAGTTGAAAATATAATAAATTGATGAATGTGGTTTTACATGGATTTCCATGCATGAACTTTCGCATAAAACAAGAACTACCCCGCTTCTTTCGGTGCTTTCAGTGCAAAAAGAGATCCATTATCGTACGATTCCACATGGGTTTCCAACTTATCACACAAATCGAGGTTCGCCTTACACTTCTCAGCGCTTTCAGTGTGAAACGAGGTCTATTATCGTACGGTCCCATAGATTTTCAACTTTCCACACCAAGTGAGATACACTCCACATCTCGGAGCCTTTAGTACGAAATGCGGTCTATTACCATATCATTCTACATTTTTAATTTTTCATACAAAGCGAGATCGATCGTACACTTCCCTTGATGTTTTCACTATCAAAAAGATATATTTTATTTATGTTTACTTTCTTGATTAATAACATTTTAATAAACAATGAACGCTGGAAAAAGTCAATGGCTTTCTTTAGTCTAAGTAAACCGGAAATCGTTGAAGCTATGTGACTATGTAAAAGTAAATACCAAATTCGCATTTTCTATGTATCTATCGAATAGTCTGTCTACATTTTGATATTTATGACTTCCAATATTTTGGTTACATCATTTCTCATTGTTCCATTACATAAACGAGTCTTGTAATCAGCATCAAAATCGTATTAAACAAACATAATTTAAATTTTTGTTAATATAATTATTTGCGTTGACCCTTCTTATTGATGAGCCAGCTGGTGAGTTTGGATAATTTTCATTTACTTTTTTATCTTTTTACCGTTTCTACCAACGTACATATTACAGGCCGAAGATGAAAAGCTTCTAAGGTCTGTCTCTGCTTCCAACATGTTCTTGGAAAAACAACGTAGTGATGAAAAACTTTGAAATCAATATTACATTGATATGACGAACCAGGAAGATTTCCTTCACTTGGACTACTTCTAATTTATTGTCTGCAACTAATCATCTACGACTGCCTATGACTTATCCAGGTTTTTGGTTTCTCGGTTTAATTTTTAATTTCCTAATTCTATCTCATACCATACTGAAGAATATAAATAAGAAGCGGAATACAGGACGTCAATTAATAATCCCCGAATCTTTCTTACTCAGTTTAACCGCCACACGAGAGATTCGGCGGATTATTACCGGATATCCTATATATTATAATTTTTTTATTAATTTTTATCAAATTATACGCACTGATAATCGTATTTAGCTTCCTATAAGCCTTTATTAACTTAATAAAAATATTCTGCAATATGTTTGTAATCTTTCTATACATATAGAAAGAAGAAGGTACTTTCTATATATATAGATATGTTCGATTGCCTTTAAATTATTAATATACTATTTTAAATGTTTAACCAAATGTTTTTTTATTGTGCAGATTTTCAAAAACTTGAGCGTGAGGCGCGAATATGTAGAAAACTGCAACATCCAAATATTGGTAAGTTAATTTTTTATCAACTTTTTATATATAATATTTTGATTGTTTCAATAATATATTAATAATATTGTGACTGTTTCATAATATATTAAAGATGACAAGAAGCTGTCTTATTATCGCATTTATATGTTAATTTTATACATTTTGATGAAATAAACAAAACTATTTTGTACAACAATTTCTTCAATTTAAATCTTTGGAGGATAGAAAACGGATTAATTAGTTAATATTAATTTTATAAAAAATTTAATTCTATTTATTAATTTTATTAATTTGAAAAAAATAAAAATATTTATTGATATACATATTTAACATAGTGGCTATTAATTTCTTAGTACATATACAAACATGTGCATGTATGTGTTTATTCCACGAGTACACTTGTGCAAAGAGATATGAGAATAATTCTAACGTTAAATCTTAAAACTGTCTGACAATTATGTGTTTTTTAATTTTTCTTTTCTCTTTTAGTTAAAAAAGTTATATTTAATAAACCAAATGAATAAGAGTGTACATGTACGAGGAAAGTGAATAAAATTAAGAGATTTATTTATTATAGATAGAAAAAATAGATGAATTAAAAAAATAAGTAAAGAAACAGAAAAGTCGATATGAATATTAATTACTGCGTTAATTTATAAAAAATTACTTAATTCTAGTGAAGAAAAGTAACAAGAGGATTAAGTTGATTCTTTTAATATATTGGTGATATAGTAAGATGAGATGTTCTGGTTTGATTCGCGCAAACACATATAAGATGAAATACTATTTTGATACTGTGAGTACTGAATTGTACAGAGCAGAATGAAGCGCGAGAAAAAGCTACATATTGAAGATTATACAGTAAAATATAACAGTAAAAATGTATAATTAATTGTATCTGTAACAATCTCTCTCTATTATATTTATTCTTTGCAAATTTTTCGGTTACATCTCTTATATCCCTCTTGTATCAATTTTTAAAGGGAATATTCCAAAACTTAACATATTAGAACTGTCCAATATTTATATTCGGCGGACTATCCGATTCAGAAACTTGCGCCTCACATATTTTTTTAGTCCGTAAATATTGTTTCTAATTCAATTATTGCTCGAGTTCAAAAGTGTGCGAATGGAACACACAGATATACATCGTAGCTGCGGATAGAGTTGTTATTCTGTCGCTTGTTGATTGAATAAACATAGACACGTCTGACCTTCTCTCTCACATACATTCCTATCTTCCTCTTATTTTATGTATTTTAATATTTAATAGTCGTTAATTGATGAGTCTAATATTAACTTAAGATTCCCTGAATTGTGACTACGCATGTTGTTTTTTCCAGCGACTTTTCATACATGACTTTGATTAGTTGATGATTTACAAAGAAACTTCACAAAGTATTAATTACATAATGTTATTAAATTGAAACTACTTTAATCTTCACGTAATCTTGACAGCTTCAAGACAAGGTTATATTAATATTATTATGTAATATCATTTAAAATCTTACAACTTTTGTATTTAAAATTTTTTTTCTATTTAATCTTTTTTTCTATTTGCATATTTTCGGAGTTCATTTATTCAGGATTAGAGTTCAGTTCAGTTAACTAGGATATTCGGAATTCAATCTTGTTTCTATATATTTAAAAATATTAATAAAAATTTTTTATCAAGATCAATCGAAATGTTATATCTTCTCTACGCAAGTTTTTTTAATTAAATTTTTAATTTTCAATTACTTTAATTGTAGTAATTATCATCTTATTTAATTGTATTATATTATTTATAATTTTTATTATATTTTTTTATATATATTACGTTTTAAGAAATTCTTCATTAAAAAATACATTATGTTGATTTGATTATATTAAAATATGTTACATCAGATCTGAAGAAATGGATCAGTGGAAGGACGTAACATATTTGTCTCGAAACAAATGCCTTATGGTATGTGCACTGAAGTCGAACAGTACAGCTGTAGCCCAAAACAGGTCAACAACTGGAAGAATCGTTCTTTCTGTTAGTAAACGATTTTTATTTGATTGTTCCCTGCGACTCTTCATTTAACTCTCTCGCGATCGCTAGATTTCTTTTCGTTCGACTTATTTTCGAAATCTCTTCCTCTTTCAAAATTATACGATCTCTCTTCGAAATAATGTTTCTTCGAGACTGTATGATCCCGCGAAGTCATGCAATTGCTTTTTCAAAATCGTACAATCTTTCTTCGAGATTGTGCAACTTAAGATAGTTGAGGAAAAGGAGAAGGAAGGGAGAAATCGAAGATAAACTGAAGATAATAGTGGAAGGCGACCTCGCGAAGAAAAGAAGAATTACTTAGAAATAACAGAAACTTTAAAATGAAAAGTTCTCAGAGGAGATGTTCAGGAGAGGAACAACTATCGAAATGAAGGAAAAATTGTATTCTGTATTTACCATTGTTATTTTAACATTAATATTAATATTATTATTTTATAAGAAATATTATTAATAGTAATGTTTATGATAAATAAAATTAAAATTAGTTTGCTTAATCAACGCAAATTAATTGTATTTTCATGCATTTATTCCGCGAATGCTTAGCGATCATCTGCGATTTCTGAAACTCCGCTTGAAATTTTCTACTAAGAAAATAATAAAATAATAATTAAAATTTTATCTTTAGAAACAAATTTTAGATATTTGTTAGTAAATTAATTAAATTAAAGTATGGTAAATTTTAACAATGAAATTACTTATATGTTATATTCTACAGACTCTATGATTCTTTTCTCAATACTATACTACAATTATAAAATCTATAAAGTTTAAGAAATAAACCGAATGAAGTTTAAAATAAAGGTTATTTAAATTACATGCATTAAAATGAATTAAATATCAAAATTATTAATTAACATTTTAATAAATGATAAATACAAACTTATAAATATATACATCAGTATTTAATAAAAGTCATTTTTAATTTAAAAATATTTGTAAATAATATTAATACCGATTTATTCCTTTACTTTACATTTTTTAATTTGATTTAAATAAATCTTATGTCTTAATAACTTCTGTATGAAATCTACATTGGATATTGTTTGATTTTATTGGAGAAAAGAAAGAATTTCTAAAGAACATATAAAATATAAAACAATTTAAAAAATGAAATAGTAAACAATATTCTTTTAATGATATGTAATACTGTAATATGTAATGCTTTATAATACATATGTAGTCTTTTTTAAAATCCAAATATAGAATTATTTACAATAGCTATTACAAGTAACTTTATGTCTTATCATTTTTTCTGTTACAGTGAGATTGCACGATAGTATACAAGAAGAGAATTTCCATTATCTTGTCTTTGATCTGTAAGTATATTAAAATCGTTACAAGAGAGAGAGAAAGAGAGAGAGAAATTCGTGAAACATTTTTCTTTATAACTTATATCTATATTGGCAATATTTTTATATTTGCTTATAATTTAGTTGCATAATATTTCTGTCGTATTTTAATATAAGAATTATCTTTATGTGTGTCATAATCAGATGCTATATTACTATTTTTGCTTACATATATTATTATGAAAGATCTTGACTTTTTTAAAATAAGAAACTCGAATATATAAGCGGTTTTCTAAAAACAAACTTATATCACTATTTATGTAAAGTTTTATGTATTTTGTTTTTATTTCCAAAGTTATAAACGTTTTGCTGTTTCGCAGATTTCCATGCGATCTCGCGACACGTTCGCAAAATAGACTTGAAACGTAAAACATTTGCAGAGTCACCGGCGGGGAACTATTCGAGGACATTGTCGCCCGAGAATTCTACAGCGAGGCCGATGCTTCGCACTGTATTCAACAAATCTTGGAAAGCGTTCACCACTGCCATTATCACGGAGTCGTGCACCGAGATCTAAAAGTATGTAAAGAAAAAGGATTTTTGCTGAGCACAAACTGTACGCTTGCAACGTTGAAATAAATCGAAAAAGCATATCCGCGTAATCTAATTTCCATGTAGCATTTCTATAGCACACTATAGTCTGATATTTTGTTTATTTTGTATGATTTTTATAGAGCGTTTCACGTTCGAAAAACTTAAATAATAATCTAAAACGATTCCTTATCGAGCATTCTCGATCAAAATTTAAAATATATTAATAATCTCTATTTTTGATATTAAATAATTTGATAATTCAAAGTGTCGCATTTTTAATTGCAAAAAAAGTTGCATAAAACATTACATTTAATTTTAGTGCCAATAAAATCACGTAGGATGCTAAAAATCTCATATTTAATTTTAATTATAACTGAGATTTTAATCTGTGTAAGAGGAGATGCAAAAAGCTCATATATATTAAAAGAGAGGAAAACTGCATTCGACATGGCGATAAATCTATCATTTTTTATCGCAGCCCGAAAATTTACTTCTCGCGAGCAAGGCGAAAGGGGCGGCTGTGAAATTAGCAGATTTCGGTCTGGCGATTGAGGTGCAGGGTGAAGCACAAGCATGGTATGGTAAGTAGGACTATAAGATTTTTCCAATCAATTAATCCGTCAAGATTTCAATTTTTTTTATGGTAACGCTATTGCTGATAATTTTTATAAATAAAAGAGCGTGCATTATATGTGTCCTTTGATACATGATACAAGAACCCTAATTGATATTATAAATGTTTAATCATCCCTTTTGATGAAGCATGAGGGATGAGGGATGAGGGATTAATTATTATGGTTGATTATTGTTATCAATTGACTATTTATATGATTGAACAATCTCTATATCAACTTCAAATTGTTAGTGTTTCGTGTTAGAGATTTCTTAAGACATAAAAATGTCAAATATTTCAAATTCTTTGCATTAATTAGTTAAATTTAATAATTAATTAAATTTTCATAGATATTTGTATATTAAAATATCAATTTTTTTATTTTATATAATGAAAAACGTTTTATTATTTTATATACTTAAATTTATTTGTCAGTGAATATGATATATGTTATAAATCACATATTCTAAATTTAAAAAGAATCTCTTTTCTTTAATACCATTATATTTATTTATTATTCAAAAATAAAAATAATGATTCTGTCTTTATAATTAAAAATATATTCGTACTTAAAATATTTAATATATTACTTTTTAAATTTACAGAATTTTTTTTAATAACAATTTATATGCAGCAGAAAATTTTATATTATTTATTAAAGAAATGCCATTTAGAAATGTGGACATTAATTAAATTGTGAAAGATTATCAATTTTATGCAGCTGTAATAAAAATATGAAAAATATCACATTATAAAACTTTCAACGACTTAAATTTGCAACTGACATTTTTTTAATATCGATGAAAATAAAAGAATATCATGATTTAAATTACAAACTTTTATTATTTAAAATGTTAAATATTATATGAAATAAATATTTAACATTTTAAATAATAAAAGAAAATATAAAAAAGACAAGATATAAAAAAGATATTTTTATCTTAAATTTAGAAAACATATCAAATATGCCAGTTCATATTTAAAATAAAATATAATATTGATTTATTGAAGTAATGCTTTATCTTGAAATTTAAATTTTATATTATTTCATAAAGTTTTACTATATTTTATTTTGAAATCTCACACACACACACACACACACACACACACACACACACACACACACAAGTTTGCTATAATATGAATTATTTTATTGTTGCTGATATCATCTGCGATGCAAGCTGTGAATTTGAAATTTTCCCTCTATTTTGCGTCTTTTTCGCTTAAGTCACGTATATTCACATTTATAGATGACTTTATATGAACTGGCATTTGAATGCAGATAAATTCATTGAAACAATATTGAACAGTTAGTGGCAACTTTTCCGTTTTCCTATACAAAAATGCAGAAAGTTATCCGTTTTGATAACGTTACGAATTTTTCACACATATAGAAAATCTCAAAAACTCCGAGCTTAATTTTAGATCTTTTAGGATAAATTTAAAAATAATCTTTTTTTTCTAAAATTTTAAATATAATGTGATTGATTTATCATATTTAGTCTTATATATTCATAATATTAAATCTTTTAGATATTTAAGCTCTAAGTTTATATTAATAATTATATTAATTAATTGCATTCAAATTATTCCTTGATATTTTTTTAAACACTCTAAATTTATTTTAAATTGATTAAAGAGAGAATTTAATTAAAATTAAAATCAGTTTTTCCGAAACTTTACATATTTTGACAACACTTATTCATCTTTTATGAAACAATTAATTTTAATAAAATATAAAATAATTATAAAATAATTAATGTTTTTTCTGCGCTAAAAAAGTAAAAATGGATACTAAAGTTTACCGCATTTGTGTATTTTTCATGTACGTTAATTTACAAAAATTATGGAATAAAGATTTTGCGAATTGCGAAAATAATATTTATTTGACTTTTATCACATATCAATTAGATGTAATTGACAAAATAATATTTTTTCATAAATGCAGTTATAAATCTAAACTATACATATTTTGATCAAACTAAATAAAAAAATAAATAAATAAAAAATATAATACAACGCGCTTTATCGAATTTTATCTATAAATTAAGTTATCTCGAATTAAAATTACAATAATATCAATTCCATCAACTTCTCAATACAATTAATTTTATTAATAAATGAAGTTTATTATTAATTTTCAAATATTTTAAACATGATAAAAATTTTCGGACGGTATTATAACGTTTGTCTTTCAAAGAAAGTATTAGTTCAGACAAGAAATGATATTCAAAACGTAATCTCGTGCATATATCTTGAACTTTTCAATCGCAGTGTGTTTTCGGAAAGTAAATGAATCCGAACAATTGATAAAAAGGTTTTGCTGGAACACCTGGTTACCTCAGTCCGGAAGTGCTAAAGAAGGAACCATATGGGAAAGCAGTCGATATATGGGCGTGCGGTGTTATTCTGTACATTCTTCTTGTTGGTTACCCGCCATTCTGGGACGAAGACCAGCATCGACTCTATGGGCAGATCAAGGCCGGATCCTACGATGTATGTGTTATATTTTATCATTTCTCATTATTTTTACATATCATTTTTTCAAATATTTTTTTAAAACATTTTATTTGAAAGCTTAATAAAAAGTTAAGAGAAATAATAGAAAGAATATGTTCTTTGAAAGAAATCCAATGTATGAAATTCATTGATAAAATAGTGTTCCTGTAATTTTATTTGTTTAATTATATAAAACTTTCCTAATATTGTTTTACTTATTGCTTATTTAATACAGTATCCGAGTCCAGAATGGGACACCGTCACGCCAGAAGCAAAAAATCTCATCAATCAGATGCTGACAGTAAATCCAGGAAAAAGGATTACTGCCAGTGAAGCATTGAAGCATCCATGGATTTGCGTAAGTCTATTTTAATCAATATAACATAGATTTTTATATATCATATGGATAAATAATTTTAAAAATAACGTTATTCTCTCCTATCCGGAAAAACATTTCAAATAAATCATTTCAGAATCTTTACAATATGCGGCATAAAATGTTATAAAGATAGGATAATTAAAAAATATTTTTCCACATCTTCCATATTTTTCGAGATATTTATCTAGGACAATTAAAATGGAACATTTTATATAAATATAAATTATTCTAAAACGATTAAATATTTCATAATTTTATATATATTAGAAATATTAATATTTTTATATATATTAGAAATATTATACATATATAATTTATATATATAATACATGTATATATAGATATATACATGTAATATTTTTAATATGCAAAAATATGTCAATGAAATATAAGTTATTTTAAATCAAATAAAATAAAAATAAATATTAATTCATAAAATAACGAAACATTATAGAATTATATTGAATTACAAAAATAAAAATAAAAATGAAATGTTTTTTAATTTCGATTTTTATATATTTCTGTGGATATTAATATGTGTTAATCAGAAAGCGAATCATATTATCGTTTTAAATAATTGATTTATTTACAAATTTAGAGCTTGACTTTTGTCTTGAATTAATATGTAAATTTTATTGCCTCTTTTTCATGATATCTTCTTCGAATTAATAAAATTGCATTCTTAATAAAATGAACATTTTTAAAGTACAAGATCTAATCTTTTTCAAGTGATTTAATCCAATTAGTGATCTTTTTCAAGTGATTTAATCCAATTTTTTAACAATGTTTAATATATTTCCCATTTATTTTGTGTTTTAGCAACGTGAGCGTGTTGCATCTGTAGTACACAGACAAGAGACCGTGGACTGCTTGAAGAAATTCAATGCAAGGCGCAAGTTAAAGGTGAGTTTTTCTCTTCTTGTTAAAATTTTATTCTATTATATATCAGTTTATAACTTTTGCATTTGCATATCTTTTTTTATCTTAAATTACGTTATTTAACAGTTACAAATTTTCCGATTCCTCATTATAAATTTGCGATTTATTATTTAAATAATTAATATTCAAACCTATTGCTATACAATAAATAACTATTATGTAATCCTAAAAATATATATACAATATATACAAGATGAATCACTAGAGGTGTTACAAGTTAATACTTTTGAAACAAAATATAAAATTCTTATCTTCTTGCGATTGTTTAATATCGAAGCCAATATTGTATGTGTGTGTGTGTGTTTATTTGCGAATGACAATAATTTTGAATATTTATTTTAAAAACTGTTTACAACAAGAACTGAACACTTTTTGCCATTTTACATTGGTTTTAATTACAACATAAATGGAATTTGATATTGAGAGATTCATTTTAAAAATACATGATACAGTTTTTATAAGAATAGTAAGAAATCGAATTTATATGAATCGCATTATTAACTGCTAACTTTAGAGAGCAATTATATAGAAATATATGATTGTAATCGCAAATTCTTATGCTAACTCTGACCGCAAAATCTTTTATATTATGTTTGCCTATTTACTGATGCAAAACATTATTCGCTCTTATCACATACTACTTAATTCACTTTGCGGTCTAGATATCGTTCGTATGGTAATCTGCATGTGTTACGAACATCTATAAAATTAGAACGATACAACGTGTGGTAACTAGCAGTAACTACATTAAATTTTATTTATCGATTCTTTCTTAAAAGTCATTATCGAATAAAAGCAATTAATTTCTATATATATAAAACATACATATATAAAATATACACATTAACATATATAATATTTTAAAAGAAATGTAAAATCCACATTTTTCATTAATATGTTTAAGTAAAAAAATATTTTAAATAAAAAATGTGTGTATATTTATTTTAATAATTTTTTAAATAATTTTTATGAAAGAAAATATGCCATTTTTAATAGTTTAAGTTTAAGTTCAATAGTTTAAGTTTTTAAGTTTATAAGTACAAGTTTATCAAGTCAAAAAGTATGATCATATTAATGTTAAGCAATCAACATTTATTTTGGGTCTTTACTGTCTATTTAAAAGATTGCAGAAATTCTGAAAAATTTAGAAAAAATATGAATAATTTTTATAAAAGTTATCAAGTAATTTGTTTTTAAACAATTATTATAATTCGATTTTCTAGCAAATAAATTTTTACAACTTTAGTTAGTAATAATGCCTTAGTAGGGACCGATAACGTCTCTTTATCTATAGGCATAATTTTACGTACGACTCTATCAAGAGTCACCGATGATTAAACAATAGCATCGAAGTAGTATGACTCCACTTGTTGTTGCAATCGCTATTCTCGTATGCAATATAAGAAAGCCAGAGAGTGCTATTTTCTATAATTTTATTGGTGCTACATGTGTGCATACATTCATTTGTCGTTGAAATACATCGAGAGTTAGTCCTTTTTTTCTCCTCTTTTTTTCTCTTTCTTTTCTGTTATTACAAAGAAGATAAAAATGAGATTGATATATTAATATTATAGAAATGTCAGTATAATATATATATATATATATATATATATATATATATATATAATTTTAAAAGATTTAAAGTTAACATTTTTTCGTGTAAAAAAAGTATGATTAGTTATGAAAATATGATTTCTTAAATAAGCGTAATAAAAAAATATTAACGCAGAGACTGCATAATTTAAAAAAAAAAATTAAATTTTTAATATTAAAAATTAATTTCTTTAATGTTACATCGTTGAAAGATGTATAATGTTTTAAATAGGTAATATTCTTAAGTTAAGATGTATGTCATGTTTCAAAATTTGCATCAATTATTGACATCGAAATTCGCTTTTCTCAACCAACTCGATAAATTATTGTAACAATATTCGATGATAGTGTATATGCGAAATCAATTAAGCACGCTTATCAATGCGACACAATTGTAATTTGTATTACAATGAAATTTGAATAATTGACATTTGTTCTTCTATTGGGATATCGTATTACAAGGTAAATTAAATATTGTTTTTTGTACGAGGTCTACTCAACTGTACTATTGTATACTAATTATAACACGACCCTTTGATAATAAGATGAACGAGCAGGAAGGCAGCAAGCTCCGAGAAATTGTTTGCAAATCCTAAAAATAATTTGATTTGTTTCTATAGCTTAATTTATTATGAGCAGAATAATGAACACATTCATAGAATATAATTTAATAATAATCCATCTATTTTTTTAATTTTGATTAACAAAGAACTTATATTAAATGACAAAATCAATAATATTGATTTCGTCAATCAATATAGGTTCTTTGATAATAATAATAATTAATAATAATAATACATAATGATAATGATAATGATAATGATAATGATAATGATAATGATAATGATAATGATAATAATATCGTAGAGAATTTTCTTCTATAGATAATAAAAATATCTCTTGAAGCGCAAATGCCGCGGAGAGATGCGGGAATAATCGAATAATGTAAAAACATCGTGACCATAGAAAATATAAATAATGTATTTTATAAAGGATATATATATGACGCGTACACGGAATGTGCGTCACGCAACGTAATTATCTATAGTTCTTAACGAGAGCTCTATAGATATCGCAACAAGAATCCTTGCATAGGATATTATTCCGAACAATATCTCACTTTCTTAATTTTTATACAGATCCAATAATTAATCCAGTAATTATTTACGTTTATCAATGTTGTAAAATCATCGTAACATAGTTTTGTAATATTTTAATACTCATAATTATTGTAATAAATTCAAAATTAATACAATTGTAGTAAATTTCAAAAACGTATGCATTATGTTCATATATAATAATAACTTATATATTTTCATTCTAACATTGTGCAATGATAATATATATATAAGAAGTTCATGAATTATATATTTATAGTAGTAATGATATAGTAGAAATATTCTATATTTTTAGTATTATATCTTACGTCCCAGTGAGAAATAATAAGTCGGAAAAATGGCTATTAGATGTCTATAGACGTCTAATAGACGTATTTTCAATCGGTATTTCTCACCGGAATTAATTTGAAAAATTAATAATACAATTAATAATACATTTCCTGTTCTGTTATAAAACGCTAACCATTATATGGCATTATTAAGGAATTGATTATTTATAATACATCGTGTAATACATAGTAAATTTACTATGTTAAATAGCATGTATAATATATAATCAATAATGAATTCAGCAAATTTTAAATGTTTCATATAATAGCAATTTATTAAGAGAAAATTATTAAAAATAACATATATTATTTATTTTAGATTATCAGATTTAATGATTCAGAGACAATGTTATTATGAGAGAAATTCAGTAAAAAAAATTCTCTTATTTTATATTTCTTATTATTTATTTATTTATTCTTTTTATATTATTAATATATATTATATTTCTTTAATATTTGATATTTGTTGACAAGAGGAAACAAGTTTATTTCGTCAACGGACTTATTACTTTTTTTATTTGGCATGGCTAATAATAATAATATTTCTTTTGCATTTGCAGGGCGCTATATTGACGACCATGCTGGCAACGCGAAATTTTTCCAGTAAGTATGATGCACAGGGTAAGTACCTCCGGCCCTCTTCAGCGCTCTATACGGTCCACGACAGATAGTACTTTTATATCTCCTATAAACTTGACGTCTCCCTGTGTATTTATATATGAATTCATTTCTTTAACAATCCGAGTCATGCAACTTCCTCCTATTCCTAATTCATCTTGCATTTTCGTCATGTAGAGGATATATTTATCTGCCTTTTCGCTTTTTTTTTAAAAAAAGATCCTTCGTGCAATCGTATGTGCAATATTGTTATTGTTAAATTTGTAATTTCATCATAAAAAATTAAAAAAGTTATTTTATTTTGATTTTTACAAAAATTAAATAATTTTTTATATCAAATTATGTCTCATCAATATTTCTGTGAAACGATTGCAGAATGGAGCACTTGTATATATTTTTGCTCATGCAGAGGTATATTAGAGTTCTTATGTTGATAATCATTCTCTTATATTAGATAATCGAAGGAGCGAGGTTGAACAGGAAATCAGAAAATTATATCATAATAGGGCGTCAATGATCGATTCTCCGAAAATCATCGTTGATATTAATTAGGCGCTTATCAAGCAATAATCGCATTTCATCTTCGCTCATTCGGCACATTGGTTATCATGACACGATATGTTTCCCATCTACTTCATGTAGCTCCCATCTACCCCATATAGTCGATGCATATGGCACGCATTTCATGTCTTGCAAAGACCACACATTATCCAGAAAACAGGGTTTTAGTTTATATTAAATAGACATGTAAGTTTCTCGCTAAAGATAAATGGTTATTTTGAATCCTTTTATCGTACTAAATCTTTTAAAGTTACTGATATAAATAAAGTAAAAGTAATGTTATAATTATGACATATCAAATATTTTTTATGTTTATGTAAAGTAGTACAAAATAGCAATATTACAAAATAATAAGAAAATAAATGTTTTATAAATTCTCGCTTCTTAATTTATATATATTTCTATTCTAGAACAGCGAAAAGATAAAAAAATATATTATGCAATTGAGAAAAAGTATTTCGGAATTTTTTCTTTGCATATTTATTGCAAGATGGAGGTTCTGGATAATTCAAATTTTACTCAAACAGTTTTGCCTTTCATTTAACTATCATTGCTTTCATTTAATTATCATGCCACTTGATATAAATCAGGTAAATAATCATTTGGTACAAATTAGATAAATTATCATCGCCTTCGAAATATTATCTTAATCGCCGTATGATTAGTCTTCATATCGTGGATATTGTAAAAATTATAATAATATTGATAAATTTCTGAGAACTTAATAATATTCATCATTGCGAAATTAGTGCACATATCTACATATATTTATCAATAATCAATTTTACTGATTTTTCAAGAAATTATTATTTATTTTTTATAAGTTTATTTAATTATATAAATAAATATATATTTTTTAAGCTCTTAATAATAACATCTCAGATAAATTAAATTTCTATATCATTTAAATATGTTATATTTATTTTTAACAAAAATTGGTTTTATGATTATTTATTAAGTTAAAAAACAAGATTATTGACATATTAGAATTTTAATATTCTGAGAGAAATTTTAAATTTATTATTATTATTCTTAAATATAAATATGTTGTAACCAATACCCAAAAATTAAATTTTTATAAATTAATCACAGTTGATAGATTGCATCGGATATCATATGGTTTGTAGTCTCATGAAACATATATATTTGACCTATCAATACCAGCGTAGAAATCAATCTAATCAATTCGATGTGCTCATCATAAAACACGCTACAACAATTAACAATAATTTTTTATTAATAGATTTATCTTTTTATATTATTTGTTATGTTATGTAAAATTTACAATAATTAAAATTAAAGAAATAAGCACCAAGAATTTAAAAAATTAATTAAACAATAATATGACACACATATACAATAATAATTATTTAGATAAATCTTATTTTTACATAGGAAGTTAAAACACTTTTAACCAACATATATTATCGAGATTTCTGATAATAAAAAAATTTTCAAAAGGTTTTAGCTGTAGCTTATTGTTTATTTAAAAGCAAATAAAAGTTTGGATAGTTAAATGTTTCTAATAATATAGATTTAGTTATGATTTAACTGAACATTAAGTACTTATTAAAAATAAAACGTAAACATGTGAAGACACTCCATATTTATATTTGTATGTTCACGATTAACACAATTTTAATTATATTGGATATAATTTAAAAATCTTGTATATTTTATTTCTCTCATTTTTTAATAAATAATCTTCGATACACACTTTATTGCACATCAGACGATGTGGAATAGACTTTGTTTTGCACGCAAAATAGCAACTTTATGTGTGAATCCTCTTCCTTATCTATATATACATATATTCACACACACACACACACACATTTTATTATAATTTTTTAGTTTTAAATATATAAATGTATATAAAAAGAATTGTACATTTGTTTAATTGTATATCTACAGTATAAATAGCAATACCCACAAACTATGCTCAAGATATTAAATTTTATAAGAAGATTAATAAAACTGTAAATGTGAAACATGTAAAATCAAATATCACGGATTAACAAAAATCATACGCAGATAATCATGCGAAAAATTAATTTATCTATAAAACTGATTAGTGTTCACGGGGCACAAATTTTTCTCGATTGTATACCAAGTAAAAATAAAATAAATAAATCGCAACTCAAGATTCTCTTAATTTTATTACGCCTCTTGCTCCTTTGAAGAAGTGTAGTTTAAATATTGAGATGTGGGATGTTTGAATAACTCAATAAGAGCAGTCGCCCGGTAAAAAACTTCGGATTTGATTCCGGATTCAGCTTTCTCATCCCAATATTTTCCTTGCTTACATTTCTTTGAGGGGATAAAAAGGATATTAAAATTAAGAGTCTCAAATTGAAATATATATATTTACTTGCTATAGAACCAAGAAAAATTTGTGCCTTGTGCACACTAAGCAATTTCATAAAAAAATTACTATCTGTGAAATTGACGCAGGACCATCTATGTCCAACTATGCTAGCTCATAATATTTGAATTTGTATATTAAATTTTTCATAAATAAAAAATAAAATTGGCAAGTAAGAGCGCAGTAGACGCAAGAAAGAAGAAAAAAACCTTCTTAATCTTTTATTTATTGGTATATTTCAAAATATTCGCTTTCGTTACGAAATGCATTCATTACATATGAATATTTCAGACCATTTTTTTAATCCAGTTTCAACGCGACATTAATATTGAACATTCGAGAGAATGTGTTTGCCAGATTGAAATACTACGAAATACAACATTGCAGTTTATCTGCATATTGATTGTGGAATAATTAATGTAATTTCATGTGTTATTGTTTGATATTCTCTAACGTTCGGTATTAATGTTACGCTGAAGATGAACCAAAAACTGATATGAAATATTCGTATTTAATGCATGTATTGAAAGCGAGTGTTTTGAAACATATTGGGAAATAAAAGGAAAAAGGTGTTTCTCTTTCTTGCGCATTAATTTTGGCTCTTATTTACTAATTTTACCATTTCATTATTGTTATTATTTCAGCAAACTTTTTGTTTTAATTATGAATTTTTTATTATCAGTCTACTTTCGAATCTCACTCTACATGAATTTGACAATCACTTTTTAATAAACAATAAACGATTACAATCTTTTAAAGATTACTTAGAATTATGGCCTTGACTACATATTTTTATCAACTGGAAGTATTCTGAATCATATTATGTGTATAAAAATAAATATTTTATATTATTATAATATTTTATTTTATTATCATGAAAAATATGTTATATGCAAGAATCTAATTTTCGAAAATTAGATTTATTAAATGAATAATCCTAAAATAAGAAAGACGTGAAAATCTTTAAAAGATTAAAATAAACATTCAGTTATATTTTTGCTATATTACAGTTTAGAATTATCGATTGACAAATTAAGCGCAACTCTAAATTTAAAGAAAATTACACTTTCTGACTTTTTCATGCTAAGGATATAATATTTCAACAAATTAATTATTACTTAATATATCAATAAAAATTAATAGAAGAATATCAATATTAATAGAAGAATATCAATAATAAAATTATTACTTATATTATTTATTTTATATTTTTATACGAAACAAATATAAAAATTTAATTTATTCTATAAAAATTGCATTAAAAATTTATTTATTATATAAAAAAATTTGATATATTATTACCAAAGAATTGTTAAATTATTATAAAATAATAAAATAAGAGAATAGCAATTTGTACAGCACATTTATTTTAGAATTCTTTTAAAATAAAATGGTCATTTTACTAAATGCGAATATGAATTATTATACACACGTGCACACATCTCGCTCTTATTTGCTCGACTTGTAAAGTAAATACGGGTTTGTAATACACTCATAATAGATGTTTGACATGTGTTGTTGATGTGCCACATTGTACGGCATATGCATCTACACATATATATTTTATATGTATATGATATTATTATCTAAGATGATATGTTTAGAATATATACGTTGATTCCGTCTTTCGCTCCCTCCCCTGTTTAGATTAACAAATAGCTGAGAGCATCTTGCATTTTGTAGATTCAATGCTACACATGTAATATGTATTTATATAACATGTGTGTTTTACCTTTTAATATAATCAGTGTTAAATCACCTATATATATTTCTATTTATTTTTATTATATCGCAAGAATATACCCATACATTTTTAAGGTTTCTTACTTTGAATAATTCATTTTGGTGCGATTTCTGAATAATAGATTTACAGATTTATTGCCGCAACATCTACATAAAGAATGTAAATGTAAAATTCTTATTTCTTTTTAAAGGAAATTGATTTTTGTTTTTGTCGAAGAAACGAATTGAAAACGGGATAAAAATAAAATTAATTCAATTATTCTCTACAGAATATTTCTAAAATATTTTTTTATTTTGTTACGATTGAAAATAAAGAAAGTGTGTATACATTTTATTGATTTTTGTTAAACTTTAATTATGAAATTTATTCATATTGATTAAAACCTTGATATTTTCAGATTCAGTTATTTTTTAACAACACTATACATATGTATCTTTTAATCTTCTTAACAGAAACAATATTTACAGAATTTTTTTGAAGATATATATAATTCAATTATTAATTAATGCATGCGTTATATAATTATATAAAATAATTATATTCATGATAACAATTTAACGAATCTTTATCATTCGCGTTTTGTATACATAGTTTTTTTATACTCCAAGTCTTTTTATCATGCTTTTATCAAATTTTCTCAATATTCAATTCTAATCTCACGATAGAAAATTATTCTCGATGAATTGGTTTTATTCATATAACGACTATTTCTTTTCGCATATTTTGTATATTCTGTCGGAATCCTTTATTCGAACAAAATCAAAAAACAATTAATTTTTCATTCTTATATTTTCCTGCTCTTCTCCTTTCTCTTTTTCGTCAAAGCTCGAGGACTTTGATTTTAATTAGATTTTCTTCATTGTCTTCAGTTGACTCTCGAACTTGAAGCTCTTTCAACTTTTCTTCCTCGCCACGACTCCACTCTCTGCCTTAAATTCACTTTTTATTTTCGAGGAAATAGTTAATATTTTTGAAATTTATTAGTACATTGTTATATTATGGAAAAAATTTTTTTCAAAGCTTGCAACGGATTTTGAGCAAAATCAAGAACATTGATGATTTATTTAACCAGACTTAATTTTTGTTCTATTTTGATTGAAAAAATCTCACAAAAAAATTAACAACTTTCAAAAATATTTAATATTTAATATTTTGAAAAATAATATTCCACCTTACGTTAATAAAACAATAACGATAATGGCATAAAAAAACTTGCAGTTATATTTTAATAACCTGGAAATTAAATAAAATTAAAAACAGAAAAATATTGAACTATAAAATGTGTGTAATACGCTTACATCTATTGTAATTTAAAACAAACATATGATATATACGAAACTGACATACAACATTCCCAAAATGAATTATTACAGATTGATTCGATATATTTTCCCGCCTTCATATGTGATCATGAATCTGAAAAAGATTTTCTCATTTTTTCATCATAATAGTATCTAGCGAAGCACGTAATGAAATACCTAAAATTGCAGAGTATGAGACTACAGAGATGTTTATGAAATTTTAATAAAATCCGACTTTTGTAGTTTTTTTATTATACTGTTAAGATATGTATTAATTCCCAGTAAATATTGTTTGTTGCAATAATATAACATGGAAGTAATAATGTTATACAAATTACATATATAATGTAAAACTATCCATATAACACTGAATATTTTAGTTATTGCAGTGTTATAATTTTGTGTGCAAGTTGCAATATAATATCGTAAAGACAATGTAAGAATATGTAATTTTATAACAATGTTTACTGGGTTACTTATTATATTCTTATTATTTTTATTAATTTATTACTTGCAGAATATTTATGTCTAAAGACTTTATTTTATTTGCATCATTATATTTTGATTAAATTCATTATAATTCATATTAATTATTTATTACACGTTTGCTCTGTTGTTTCTGCTTGACTGGAAATTCTTAAAAATCAATTAAGATTAATAATTATCGATAATTTTTTCTAAAAATTATGCTCATAAGCTCATACATTGATATATATTACTATTAGTTTTATGATAGTTAGCAATAATCACATTTTATAATTGGATCTCGTATAGTCAGGCGAAAATTACAATTCCTCTTCGCAAATGATTATCTAGTGAAAATCGCAGGTTCATTCATTATCCGATTATTAAATACCTATACATCCTAGTTGCTCATGTTCTCTCGAAAACGATGCATATTACATGTTACATATGCGTAATATCTCTATCGTCTAGAGTCTAGAGAAATTCGCAGGTTCATTCATTGTTATCCGATTACATATCTATACATCCTAGTTGCTCATGTTCTCTCAAAAACTATATTACAAGGTACATGTGTTAATATCTCTTGCTTGAACTTAAAAGAAATATTTTAATAGCGATATAATTATCTATATTCGTAACATACTATGAAATGATATACCGAGTGTTTCCTAAATGATGTCCACAACTTCAGGAAGCAATTCCTTGGACGACTTTAAAGACAAAAGTTTCTATGAATATAAATCCGGAAATGCTTTTTTGTAGAGTTACACACAAAGTTAAGGAAAAATAAAAAAATTTTATGATTATCTTTCTCGTAATTTTTAATTGAAAAACATGTTAACAAACAAATAATTAAATTAAATGTTAATGTTAACAAAGTGAAGGAAAAATTAAAAATTCTGTGATTATCTTTCTCGTAATTTTTCAAAGTAAAGGAAAAATAAAAAAATTATGTGATTATCTTTCTCATAATTTTTAATTGAATAACATGTTAACAAATAAATAATTAAATTAAATGTTTAAATTTTAACAAGTAACACTAAAAATTTGAGTATCAATATATCACATCAAATTACTTTGACTCTTATTCAAGAATATAATTGAGAAATATTGATAAAGAAAAAAAATACAAGTTTATGCTATCAATCTATATTTCATACTTTTTGGGACTATTGCACAAATGCCTAAATCAAAATTTATATGCGTTGCATTTTTCTTGCGGCCATGAATCTTCTTAGCAATGTATAAATTTATGTATTTTAGACTATGCATATTTCTGTTGTAAATAACAGAATCGTATGAATCATATGGGCTTATAAATCCTAAATCGTGCGAATTACTTATGGATTTATAAATCCCAAACCGCATATATAACTTCGAGGACTTCCGAGAAATTCATGAATCTATAAATTCTGAGCTAGCCATCATTTCCATCTGCCAATGCTTTCCCTTGAGAGAACACGAGCAATTGTCATCGACGAATAAATCTTTTTCTATCTATTTATCTTTTAACCTATTTCAATCATTTTAATATTATCTCATTCTTTTTCATATTTTCCATCTTTTTCTCTTTTTCTCTTCCCTTTCCTCTCTCCCTCTAGTGCGCGCACGCGCGCTTGTATATATATATATATATATATATATATTCCTTTTTTTTACATTAATCTACTGTCTGACCAATTTTTCTTTTTTTTGACAAAGGAAGGCCGCAGCACTTATAGTGGGTCGGAGGTGCAAACTTAACGTACTTCATTCCACAATGATTTTTCACTTTTATACAATTCGATAATAAAGCAGAAGCTGTATAATGAACGATATATCGCGTGTTCACAAAGCTTCGATTACAAGAAACGACACATGATGCAATCGAGGATATTAATTATAAAAAAATATCGATTCGTGGTACATTTTCTGACTAAAATAAAACTGTGTTTCGGCAAAGAAGCGCGGTGTCAGATAAAAATGCTATTTATATTTCAACTAATTTTTATTAGATTTTTTTTAATATAGTGATCCTATCTTTTTTCGGTGAATTTATTTTAGTATAACATCTCTGCATCTTGATCTTAATATGTGTTGTCATGATTGATCCTAAATAATATCCAAAAAATTCCAGAGAAAGTCCATACATAATCAAATATAAATATAAATATAAATATATATATTAAAAATATACAGGGTGTCCGGTAATAATTGCCGAACCTCTCGTGTGCAGGTAGAGCTTAAACTGAGTAGGAAAGTCCTTCACCATTTTGCGATCTCTACAGTAGTTAATGAGAAATTAATTAAAAAAAGCAATATGGTATAGGACTTTTTAGTTCAGTTTAACGAGATCTACTTGTGTTTCTTTGGTTGGACACCTCAATTTTTTTTATGTGAGAAAACCTTCACTCCTGGACTCTGAATCGCACGTGCGCAAGAGGAGTATAGGATTCTTACTAAAAAATTTATGTTAGTCTACCTTAGACGAAGTAGATCTATGGGAATAATGTTCTCTCTTTCAGTGTACTTGAAAGGACATGTTCGTGCATATGATATGAATTAAATGGAAGTGAGGATAAACCTCGTTATAGCATGTCATACAATGCACTATTTTGAAGTTCCATTGAACGCGATAAAATCTCATGCGATCAAGATTATATATAAAGTAACGAAAAAATCACATTTTTCCTTTTATTGTTTTCCTTTCCATTTCCTTATTTCTCTTTATTTCTATTTCTCGCCTCTCTTACCTTATCTTTCCTTCCTTTCTCTCTCTCTCTCTCTCTCCCCTTCTTTCTTTCCCTCTCCTTCTCCCTCCCTCCTTCTCTTTCTTCTTCTTTTTCTCTTTTTCATTTTTTCTATCTTTCTTTAATTTATTCATTATCTTTCTCTTTTTTGTAAAAAAGATCTTTTTCAAATTTTTCTTTTCTTTCTATATTTTTTTTCTTTTAAAAACTATGTAGTTTTAAATTAATATTTGCAGGAGGGAAGCTAAAATAAATTTACCTTTTTACTTTTTACGAATTTGCTTTTTATCGCATTAAGAAAGGAATATCGATTAAAATATTTTTCCTAACACTTAAACCAGAGATAATAAGCAGATAGCTCTTCCGAATCAAAAAATATTTTAAAAATCATTTCAATGGAAAGCTATTCAAAAACGGATTTAAATAAAAATCCAAAAATGATCTGTATGGATTTACCTAACCCATCTTTCGTCCGTTTTAACCCGTATCCTTCAAATCAATCTGTTTTACACTGTGCTCTCTTTTTTCTTTTTATCTCGCTTTGTCTTTTTTTTCTCTCCAATTCCTACCTGATCATTGTTCTATACGGATACACTAAAGTGTGCACACGCGTAGTGTATATAATAGAACAATGGTCCAAGAGGTGGCTAAAGTAAGTACTAAAGAGAAAAAAAAAAGAAAAAAATACATATATACATACACACATATATCAACATCTTTCTTTCATTTTTATTTTTCCGATGCTGATTTACTGAAACGCTCTGCGCACTCCAGGTCGAAGCATCATCACGAAGAAAGGCGATGGTTCTCAAGTAAAGGAATCTACTGATAGCAGTACAACGATTGAAGACGATGACGTTAAAGGTAGGGAAATCCCGTTCTTTTTTATGCGTGTTTGTGTATCTCTTTGATTTTCTATTTTTCTCTTTTTTCTTTCTCCTTCTCTTTGTCTTTATGATTAAAAATTGCGCCGAGTTTCCTTAGCGATAATTATTCAGCTGTAATTATTAATCGATTAATTATAATTTGGCAGTGCGGAAAACATGAATATATTAATCGAAAAATTGCATTCGTGCAAACTTGAAGTGTTATTAGAAAACGGATGAGCCGACTTTCGTATCGAATAAATGAATAAAATCTTTTTACGTGGAGATATTTGGAAACGTTTATACAGATTAGGCGAATTATTTTCTACATAATATCGTTGACGTTTCCCAATTTCGGTTGCCGTAACGAGCACTTGTCTAGAAGACTGAGACATTTACTATTAAAATACGTGATCTTCGTGTTCAAAAATTCAGATTGAATTTATGATAATGATTATATGAATGTTGTCGCTGCCGCGACAGAATTATCACCACGCAAAATGATAATCTAGGAAACAAGTTCTTAGCTCTTAACGATTCGCTATACCTGTGGCCTCTTTACTACAAATTCGTTAAAAAGATTTAATAAGAAACTCGAGTAGCTGAACAGACAGCTCGATATCTACATAATAATGCATAAATAATGTATAAAGTTTTTTAAATCTGAATCTTTATGTCATAGTTGAATCTTCGCGAAAATAAAGCTGCGTTTGATTACTTTTAGATGTTATTGTTTATATTTGGTAAAATGTTTAATTCAATTTTTATAAGATAGTATTAAAATAATTAATTTATTAATTTATTAAAATTTTACAAAATTAAAACTACTAAAAAATATATTAAGACATCGAATTCTGATATTAACGAATTAAATTAAGAATCATAATTTTAATTAAATATAAAAAATCATAGTGCATCAAGCTTCTTGCATATCTGCACAAAAAGTACTCGATTCAACTGAATCAACTATTTTTTTTATTTTTTTTATTTATTATAACTTATATAAACAATAAATAATATAACTTATATATTATTTATTGCCACATATAGATATTTATTGCAACAATTTCAAGAAATAAATTCATTTTTATCGCATATAAATAAAAAAAGCACGCGCATATTTATTCTTCGTTAAAGATGAGATGAAGATTAAATAAAAATTATAAGGATTCCTTTGAATCTCACGTCCATCATTGATTAATATTTAGAATATAAGTATATCATTGCTTATTTTCCGATCCTGCTATTTCTATTCTGCGTTCTATCATTTGTGTGTCCTCCGATCTAGTATACTAATCTAGTATACTAATCGAAATACATACTACAACAAAAAAACAATCAAAATTTATTCTCACTTGATATAAAAACTGATTTAAAATAAAAAAATAACTAATTAAATATATTAATTTATATCATTATATAGAAAATATTTAGTTATTTCGTTACAAAATTTTACCTCAGATTTATATTGAATGTTTCTTCTCAAATTGATACTTTAAATTTGTAAGAATAACACCAAGTATATTTTGATTTGTAAAAATTCTGAAATATACTTTTGGTCGCAAAATTTGAATGAAATTTCAGATTTAGAAAAAAATCGATCTTATCTTAATCTTTTTCTGTTAAGCCAAGTAAAAAAGAAACATTTTTGTTTCTCTGAACATGGCTAGCAACATTGACTCTTTTATGATTTATCATAATTTTAAAGTATTTTTATGTGTTCAAAAATAATTTAATTTCCTTTTATTGTAATTTTATCTTAATTCAAAATGTGTTCTCCGTTCAATTAATTAAGGAAGAAATGCAAACAGTGACACATTTTCTTTATTCAGAGAACAAGAGAGAGGAGGATGGGAGGAAGAAAGAAAGAGAAGGAAAGAGAGAGTGAAATCTGCAAAGATTATTTGCAAAGTAATAGTATGGTGAGAGTTGTCATAGCAAAATGAATAAATAGATCATTTTAAAAATAGTCAGATTCTGTCTGAAGAACGTTCAAATAGACAGAGAAATCCGACTATTTTTAAAACACTCTATTCTCATATACATTCATTCTGTTATAAACAATTCTCACCATACTGCTGCTGCATTCTGAATAATCTCTGCAGATTTCATCCTCTCTTTAAATAAAAAAAAGTGTAATTGCTCGCATTTCTTCTTTAATGCAATTAGGTAATACAGAGCGCTTATTTTAAATTAATTTTAAATCACAATAAAAGAAACTTATACAACACAAACTACTGCTTTGAAGACATGAACTTTGAAGTTATAATAAATCATATACAAAAGAGTCAGTATTGCTAGCCTATTTGAGGAAATAAAAAAGTTCTTTTAATTTTGATTTAGCCTAATAGATAAGATGTGCATTTATATATCAGTCTCTTTTATATGTTATTTCTTTCCCATCTGTTTATATTTCTCAAGCAAAAATTTAATCGTTAATAATTGATTTCTAACAAACACAATTGACAATATATTGTATTTGTGTATCAATTTTTACAATTTAACATTAAAATTTTTATTTATTTTTGAAACTTTATAATAATATTACCTAATGTTACTATATTTATTTAATAATTTTAAATTTAAAAGCTTGTGAGAATTAAAAATGAGAAAATAATATTTTATTTTATTTAAATTTTCAATTATCTTTATAAAAAATCGAATTTAACATATTTTAATAAAAATCTTAAAGATTTTTATTCATATTATACTTAATAAAAATATTAAGAATGTCCAAATTTTATTGATTATATCATAATTATGTTGTTTCTTTATATGCGAATATCACAATAAAGCGTATAATATCGTATGGACATATGAATATCGGATTAAAACAAGTAATTAATTCTCGTTTATGTAATGATATGCACATGTTTGAAGTTTATAAGTAGGCGGATTTATTATCAGGCAAGTACTTATATGGAAACATTCGTTTAAACGTACATATATTTTATACAACATATAATATTTACCGAAAATCCAAGAATAATATTGATTTTCGAATTTAAAATACTTTATGCAACATTTTACATGATATAAAGAAACTTATGCATCAGCATCACGCGAATGCATAATTTACACATATGTGTAACTAACGTGATATTGCATTAATAATGTTTTTTTTCATAAAGATAAAATATATTAATTGAACTTTATTTTTATCAAAAGAAAGAGATTAAATAGCTCTATATAAATCATAATTTTAAATTTTGCAGTTATTAAGAATCAAATACTGAGATGATAGCGCATCAGTTTCATGGAAAATTAATTCGTTAAAAAAAAACCAGAGCCTGGCTCTGTTTCGTATCTGTTTTCCATAATCGGATATTGTAAAAACAAAGCACTAAATATATATTAAACAATTATGTGAGAAATAATAGTATACTGTTGTTTTGTACCCCTCTAGCGTTGCTCACAAATCCATAACACACATATGCATATATAAAAACTATAAACATTATTGTGGATAATGTGACATTAAACAAGACGAGTGAATTATAATCAGACCATAAACTGTGCACAATTCTTTTCGAAACATATTTATCATATTATTCAACCGGAAATGTGATCATTACGAGAAAAATGCTTTTATGTTTATAATATATATCAACATCAGGAATACCTCTTTATATTCGATTATAATTACTTTCAGATCAAATGTATCACGTCTAGATATTCATAATTATGAATTTGACAATTTTTAATCATTAATTTGTTAACTGTTTCATTTATTGCATGATAAGATATAAGAAAATTATAATATACAATAATTAAGAAGATTTAATATATTTTTTTATCTGTCATTTGATAATAACATTGCCAATTCTCAAAAAACCAATAGTGATGCTTGAATATCTAGACGCAATGCATTCAACTGAAAGTAATCTATTTTCAGATACAAATACATTCATGACGATGATATATATTATAAATGCAAAAGGTCTTCCTTTTTTATTTTTGTTTAATTATTTTTTTGATTATATGATTAATCTTGAAATATACACATGGGGTCACTAATGCCTTAATATACGAATTTGCACGCGTATGGAATATATTCAGCACGCATAATTTGCTTCTAAATATTTATACATCATGACTGTTAGTTATTTGTGAGAAACACAAAATAAATTTATACTAATAATTAATAATTAATAAAAAAGTTAATAACAGAGAATAATCTTCTTGATATTTTCATTCTATTTTGGACAGCATTGCCTTTCCTAAAATAACTAACAATTATATAATACTTGAACATTTAGAAATGAAGCCCATGTGTATACACAAAATATTTTTCATAAACAAATAAATGATGAATAAAGCACGAATAATTACTTTGTAATGTAAAGACTGCGCATTTGAAATATATTCGATAATTAATCAACATTCATTTATTGAATGACTCGAACACAGCATATATTGCCTTTCATTTACATTCCACTTAAAATAAATGTAAATTTTTCCGCAATTTTTTTCTATAAGAGGTTGATAACAAAATTTAATGAAAAATTGAAAAATTGAGAATAAAATACATACATTTATAGACATACATAAATAGATTTCAAATACACACACACACACACACACACACACACACACACACACACACACACACACATATATACATATGCATATATATATGCATACACACATATATACATATGTACATACATATACATACATCTCTCTTTAGGCCGTACTTTTTATCAGAGAATAATTCCTCTACATATATCCGCGAAACACATACATATGTCTCTTTTTATAATTTTTCTACAGACATATAGGATCCACAATTTAATGTCGGTTTTTCGAATAATAAAATTAAAAGATACGTACACGTATACGTACACACACATATACATTTTTAATTTATGTGTTGTGTGCATCAGATGAAAATTCTATTATAGACACTTCAAAAAAAGTTACATGGAAATATTTGATGTGTGTTATATAATTTATATTATAAAGATTATCAGAGCCTATATTTATCATTTATTCATT